AAAGGGGGGGGGGGGGGTCTTAGAAGGTGACTGCCATGCAGCGTGAACTAATACAATTCAATTCAGACCTGTTTGACTGGTCCCCTATTTGACTAGACTCGTAAATTGCTGGCCGAATGGTTGTTTTGACGTTCAACAGTCCTCCAATAACACACCGCAGTTGATTGTTTTGGAGGGCTGTTGTACTGGAAGCAATTGTACTACCCAGGAATGCCGCTGGTAAACACGTTGGTTGGGCTTCCTTGTCGTGTTTTATTAGGCTTGTCGGTATTTCCAATTAGCTATCGCTACGCTCACTGATCGATTGCCTCAGTTTTGGTCAGCACAGATAAAGGGGAGTGATTTAGTTGCCCCGGTAGTTGCTTGTGTGCAAGAAAAGTCTGCCACCAGCCCCCCTGACCACGGCAACCGCGGCTCTCTTCTTTCGGTACTTTTTTTCTTAAACTTCTGTTTAAACGTCTGCCTCAGGATACGCCCCAGCACTGGACAGTGGATCAGGTTCGGCGCTTCTACAAGGCGATCAAAGTCCACGGGAAAAACTTTTATGCGATCCACCGTGACTTCTTCTCCTCGACCACCTCCATGGATCCCATTGGAGGGGATGGAGGCAGTGATCCCGCACCTAGGGCGGGTCCACGGGGGCGCAAGCGGCGCGGTCACCACCACGCGCTGGAGTCGAAGAGGACCTTGACTAGCGCCGCCAGCGTCCCCGCGTCGCTCTTCTCTCTCGCCAGAGACACGCCCACCTCCACCACCACCAACCTTCCAGAAAGCGAAGTTGAGGAGGTGTCGAAGGTTGAGAACATGAAGGTGGAGGAGGCCGATGAGTTGGCAATGCGGGGTCGGAAGGGCTATGGTGAGTTTTTACCGCTGTTTCTACGGGGAAACGGCGCCAATGTTTTATTTTGCGTGATCCGTCAACACCGTTCTTGGATAATTATGCGCCAATACACGTCAATATATCATTTCTTCCATGCCCAGTCCATCTATCGACCCGAGCTTTCCGTTATTAGCCAAAAAAGCGTTAGCGGTGAAGAGCACGTCTAGTTCTTTTTCTGTGTGGTTTTTGTTAAAACATAAATTTTCCGATGCAGGTGACAGCCCGAAGTAATGTTTACGGGGTTTCGTTTGCTATTCGCTGTTTTTGTCAAAGAGAAGAAAAGGTAGTGCTGCTAATTGAGCGGTGGCCGGTGGTGTTGGCCAGTTTGTTGCCTTCCAATTGGAGGAATTCGGGCCTTTTAATTAGATGCTTAAACGCAAAAAGCCAACCTCTGCTCACGTCAACTGCATCAAATGTCGTGCAAGCGCCTTTTTGCAGAATCTCGGTGGCTTACGCCTTTTTCGTGATCGGTAGTGCTCTTAGCATTAGTATTGCACCGTGCTAGAATTGGCACCGCGACACCCAATAAAATTCACTCTAAAACTGGTGTGCGTGTGCCGCCAATCTAGGCAATACGTGATACCAGTCATCATCCTAGGTATAGTCTCCGTGTCGAACCCTGCCCATCGTGCGTGTTCCAATGCAGCTCTTGCACTTGTTTGAATCAACTTCAAAACAGCGGACGCCTCTCCTGAATCCACGCCTCTTCGTGAGGTACATTGTGATACACGTGCCTTCATACTCGTAACTAATTTGTTGCCCCACAGTAAAGTTCCATGGCTAGGTGGCATACGAAGCGACTGGTCTTGGCTTGTTTTATGGCGTTCGGCTCTTATGCGGCAGATCCCGTTTGATTTGACTATTTTATGCTATGAAATTTATTCGATCGGAGTGTGTACGTACGTAGGTGTTAATACAATCTTGCTTCAGCAGGTCTGTCATTCGATAGTTAGCTGCTTACTGAGTTAAATCCATGTACGTTATCCTCTATTTTCGTCTATTTCCGTGTTAGAATTCAAATCAGAACCCCCTGATGACGTTAAAAGCGAGGACAAGGACAGGGAAGACAAGTCGTCGGCTTCCTCAACTCGCTCCATCTTTCAGCCCACGCGGGAGAAGACGGTGAAACAGCTGATCACCTTCTACTACTACTGGAAGCGTAAGAGCGCTTCGACCATCACCTCGGCGACGTCGGTGGCTGCTGCGCACGCTGCTGCCGCCGCTGCGGCCGCTGCAAATGCCGCCGCGTCCAACAGCAACAGCCACCACAACCGCAACACCTTCAAGGGCTCCTCGGTCGAGGCCAACTTCAACCGCTGCTACGCGGGCGGAAAGAAACGGAAGCAGATTGGGACACGAGCGGGCATTATGGGTGAGCTTCGCCGTCTAAGTCGACCTGGTTGACATGGTGTCGACCCTCATGAAGCTACTGTAGATAACAATAAGCCGTAATTCCTTTTGTCGATTACGAAAATACAACTATAGGACTGTGTTACGTACATAGTCTTTAATGTTTTAAATCAATTAGTAATGGGTATGTTTCAAAAGTAATGCTATAGAAAGGACTACGCGGTGGTCTTGTCCAATTGCTAAACCAAATCAAAATGGTAAGCCGGACAGCGGGGCGGACAGATTAGTATGACATGACAAATGTTATTGGCCGTTTGTTTTTTCGATTCGTCGCCTTAAACGCTGTTTGGCAAGCTGCCAAAATAAGTTTCAGCCGTGCGAATTTTCCCATAATTAGTTTAGAAGTTGATGATCTCTAGGGAGTGATATGAGCATCTCTGCTCGGGCCATTAGGCAAAAACGAGTTGGCTCACAATTAACTTGAATCGCCTGTGCCACGGTCAACGCATCTGCGCATCTGCTGATGAAACCTGCCAAGACCGCAAAAACGCGCTAATTTTAGGGCATATTTTGTTTTGCCAAAAAAGTCACCTCATGGTTCGCTTGAACACCGAAAGCTCTTACTTCACGTTTGCTCTCGCATTTCTGGCAGACAGGACTGCTTACCTAAGGCATAGGACGCTCACAGGCGCGTGTTGTTGTGACGGAATCATTTATGACCACGGTGACATCGCACCGTCACCACCCAACCCCTTGACTGACGTTGCGTCGTGGTTTCTTTTTCTTGCAATTTCTCAAACACCTTGGCTAGCTCTTGACCACGCCTCGACACTAGCTCCTTGTGTGAGCCGGCCTCGAGTCCGTTGGTGCACCCCCTTTGAGTTGGAAGTAGCTTTTCTGTGCGACCACGAGCTTGCTACCACTTACACCGTGATCCACTTGCCGTGAATGCCCTGTATGACCCCCGGCTGCAGTGTTTTAGTGCTGTTTCCGTAACACAACTCCTCTTCATATTTGCTTCGTATCCTGGCGAAGTAGTAAGCCGTTTTCCTTCTCGTCTACGTGAAATTTAGAGCAGTTCCAACATCTGTTTTGCAAAACAGAAATAGGACTTCACGAGATCTGTTTCTAATCGCCTCGCGCAAGTCAATCTTCGTTAATGAGGCGTTGTGTTGCTCCTGGGATTGCTTAGGCCCTCGTGAGTTCAACAGAGGCCATAGCATTTGTGTTGGTTACCTAGTTTCACTTTTGTCGCCACCAGAGTTCTACCTGACATCGGACTCGATCGTTGTCCACACCAGCAGGTAGTTGAATTGGCGTCTCTTTCAGAAATCTCGTCTGTCATCAAGGAAATCCACTTGAGACCACACGGTGATGCACGTACAGCGGAAGAGGCTGCGGTTGTTGTAGAGTGGGCGAGTGTCTCACCCTTCTTCTTGATGCCTGACTTCAAATTCGCTAGTCGGCAGTTAGTGTCGGCTATCCGCCGTGGACAGCGCTACCACCAACCCAGTGATCAAAGAAGCGCTCACTTCTAGGGATATCCAAACATTGTGTTTATGTGATTTACAACAGCTGTTCGGTGGGTCCGATGTCCGCACCGGTGATCGTGAACTCCGCAAATAGCATAGCTGTCGACGTCCACTGCACCCTAGGTTAAATCCCAATGAAGTTCGCGCACGACATTTTGACATGTGCGCCCACCTCCTGCGTGCACATTTAGCGTTTAGCATAAATATTTATACACCGCCGTCGCTTTATTCTCCTGCCCTGTTACTCACACAGGGCGCAACGCCTCAAGTGCACTATTTTCGTCGTCTGCCACCGCTCTACTGCCATTAAACGATCAAAGTGACCCCACGCATTTGCACAAAAAAAGAGCTTGGTTTGTGTGTGTGTGCGTGTGTGGGCCCTTGCATTCGTGACGGAAATCCGAATTTCGCGTGGAACCGTGTCGGCTGCTGTTGTGGTCGGGTGCTGTAATAGTAGCGCCGCATTGTATTGCTTCTATTTAAAACGACTTCTGCATTTGTCAGTCAACCATGGGCTCTGTGGTGGATGCAAGCTGTTTGGTGTTTGACCGGTGCGTCGAGCGAAACCAAACGCCACCTAGAGCCCGTGTGTGTGCCAGCGCTTTCCTTTGTTAACTCAGATGAGTGCTATGTCCCTCTTTTTTTATCACTTACAGCTGGTTCTGTGGCAAACAACCTCCCCGAATCCGAAAACGACGACATCGGAAACGACAGTGAGCCTTTTTTAATTTTGCTCGCAAATGTCTGCATGCCGTCCGATTGGATAGGGCGATCGGCCACAGCAAAAAACACCCTTTTTGTTTGGATGCTTTTGCAGAGACATTGTGTAGGAACCCTGTTATTAGTAGGGAAGGGGTCTATATTTAACGATAAATATTGACTTCACGCGGGCCAACTGAGGTCCGTTTCGAAGCATTCTTGACATTCAATTTTTGCACACTGGAGGAATTCTGTGTTCAGTGGTTCTCCAAGATGTCCATTTTTCGTATTCTCTAAACCGACGTAATCAAGGAAAGCCGGGAAACGGTCTGAATTTGCTCTTTTTCTCGCTATCCCCACTCCTCCCCAACACATATTAGTAAATTCCTCTGAAACTTGTGCAAATTGCCACAGACCATTGACTTTGTCGCCCTGTCTTTGATGTACACATGTAGCGAAATTGCGGCATCTTGAATCTGTCGTCGCACCAAATGTCGAAGATGGGCTCCCTTAACCGACCCAAAAACCACGATCACGTCAATAGGCAGGGTGAGCGGACGCAATGGGTCTTGAAAGAGCCCCTTATAATTGGTGAAATCAGTGCTGTGGGGTAGCTATTTATTCCCGTTATTGCTTGCCCTGTGAAGACGGATGAAGTGGGGTTATGGCAAACGTTTTGGTTGAAAAAAGTGGCTGAAAAAGGCACAAAGGAACAGGGGAAAAAGTCCCTTTAGTAGAAGCATCTTTTGCGAAGAGAACAAAATAGTGTTTGGGCGTTTCCTTGTACCTGCTCGTTATGCTGGTCTCTAGTGGGCAGCTAAATTTTCTGACAAACGTGACCGCTCCAATGAAAAATCACGTATTTTAAGAGGTTTGGCTACAAAAAAACGATGACCGAACTGGCACATTCCTATTCGCTCTTGCCATCGACGTGATCGTGCTTCCTGCGTCAAATTTACGCACTTGATCGAAATAACTGATGCCACAGTAGGAATAAACGAAACTGGTATTTCCTCGAAATTCATAAAGTGCGCTAGATGAAATCTTTTTTAATGCACGAATCAGGAAGTATGAGGGACATAATTTACCAGCGAATCGGAGAAATTTTAGCTCTGCAAACAGGCACATTCTTGGGCGATCTTTATTCAGTCCATTGGAGTAGAAAGCATTATTAGAGATGCAAATTGGCTTATTTGAGATGAGTGCTTTTTTAACTAGCGTTTCACTATTTTTTTTAAATTCACTTGACCATTAAGTAACCTCTAGAGGACTGCCTTACTTGTTAAATGGTAATCTGCAAGTTCGAACGGTTATCTTGTTGTTTTGTCGAAGTAGGCAAACTTTCGAAGGTTAATTGTGCCCTAGTGATGTAATACAGTAGTGAATTCAATTTGCGCACTAACCCTGGTGCTGGTTTGTGTAGCGCCTCAGCGACCCGCTTCAGAAACTGCCTCCCCGGCCGACGCAGCAGCCTCCAACACAGAGGCCACCGACGATGCGTCGAAGGAGAGCGACGCAAAGGTCTCGCCTGCCGCTCAGGTGTGCAAGCACTGTAACCTCAAGGAGATCGCCAACACCTCCCCGTCCTCCGGTGAAAACCATCTGGTGAGAGCACATTTTCGTCTATTTGCCCCCTTACAAGCACACGTCCGTGCCACTTTCAGTGTGTTTGGCTTTCATGGTTGCTAAATTCCTCAACTCGTTTCAGTGTGTTTTGGGACTGCGATTGCCGAAATTTGCTTCTGAGAAATGAATAGGCACCATATTTTAGCCAATCGCGTGTATTCTGTAAGATTGTCGTGGGTTTTGGATTCCGTACTTGAAATCTCAATAAAAAGGCCATTTCGTCAGGCAGGGGTTTTCTACATACCTCGTAGCCTCTTTTTTTATCGACTTGAACTAAAGCTCCACGCCTGAAGGCTTTTTGTATCTTATAATTAACGAGTCTGTTGCGTGCCTCTACGACGAAGCCTCTTCTCGGCTCTACACTAACTTACCTGCACTCCAGTCGCCTCTGAGACTGACTGCTCGATTGGTCATGGCGCTGGGACGGGTTTTTCGGAGGGCCGGCCGTTTCTGCCTCGCGACCCGTTGTGCGATTTGGCCATCTTTTTGCCACAAACGAACGAAAAACATGCGTGGAATTTGGAAAAAAAGCGGGCATCCGGTTTTTGTGTCCAAGATTGTCAGCGCGGTTGGCCACTGACATGCCCGTGGACTCACCGTCGCCTTTGGCAGTCATGCGAGTTAGACTGTGGTGATTCACATCTCCCGCCAAAACCCTGGGGACTATGTTAAAAAGCGGTGAAACCACGCCGGAGTGGACGCAACCGCGCGCGTGGGAGCCAATGTAGGATTAGGGGGAGTCATAGACGCCGATAGTCTTCGGGTAAACACCTTCGAAACTGCCCCATACGGTCGGGTCGGTTCACCCGTAGGAGACACTTTGGAGGGCTCCACGTGCCTCGCCCCCACGACCACCAGTGTAGTGTCCTTAGGGCAACTTAAGGCACTATTTCGTGGTAGGTTGATTGTGCGATGAATCAGGCCCCCTATTATCCTCGATTGGCCCCTGTGGATGTTGCGTGGAGGCGTCTCTTGTGCACATAATGGCATTTAGCAGAACGCTGCCCCCAAAATTTATGCTCTTTCGACGCGTATTCCTGCCTCGCACGCAAATCTGTTAATGCGTCTGTTTAACTGGCGTCCCTCTCCTAGTCGCCAAACTTGTCCATTTGGCGTTTTACCTACGTCGGTGTTCTCGATGCCCAAGATATCTCATTGGGTAATTGACAGGTAGCTCCACTGCAAGTGCATATTTGGGTATTGCGTGCTCTTTAGACAATCGAAAATCCACGTCTTCCGATGTCTTCTCATGCGCGATCTGCGAGACCAGTTCATCTGATCGTCGATCAACACCAAGTCACCGAAACGCTGTCGGCGCACTCATTACCCTCTCACTGTAACCTTTTCGAAATGTCGTCCACATAAGGCGCCCTTCATTGAGATTAATTTCATGTTCTAGTCAGTCAATTGCACTGGTAAATGCAGTAATTTGTTCGCAAAAAAGTCACGCTAATTAAGGAAACAATATCGGACGTGAACAAGAAGACCTTGTTCACCTCGGTCAACAACCTGCTGTGTAAAAAAACGGTGAAACCAAGGTCTAGCAGAAAAAAATGGAAAATCGACCGTTTTTGTTGTTGCGTGTAGTAAGTGGTTAACGTGCAGCAAGCGACCAGGTACGTGTGAGAGTGAATTTGGCGGCGTAACTGCAGATGATAGTAATGAGAGTTGATGTGACCAGATAAGCCCTGTGTTATGGTGGTGGTGGTGGTGGCGGCGGGGGTGGTTCACGCGTCAGTACGAGCCTGTTAATCCGAAAATTCTCTCGTGATAATCCCCGTGGTCGTGGCTACGGAAACTACTGTTTGACGTGTGGAATTCGTTACACTTATTGTCGTTAATTTTGTAACTTGGCAAAAAGTCGGGTCCTTTTGTCGAAGAGGCTTCCAAATTAACCAAACACGAAAGCGGCATTCTGCTGTTAAATTCCTTAACTATGCAGCTTCTAGTTTGGAATAAGAAGCTGCATACTTCGAAGGCTTTCCATCGGCCAAGACGGCCCACTGTTGTAGCCCAGAAGGACAATGGGATTGACGAATCGGTTGAACCGGTCGGATGCAAAGGCACATGCCAATGGCCACTGTCGCACCAGTCCATTCCTCGTCTTACACTGGACCCCCTGGTTGCGTGACGTTTTAATGCGATTTCCCCACTACTTCGTTTGATGTGGCCTCGTTGGTTTGCACGCCTCACACGCCTCGTGTCGACATTGTTTCTCCGATGAAATTACGATCTCTTCTCATGGCCCCTTAATCATCCCGTTCCCAGCTAGGGTTTTCGGTGGGAATTAGCAACTTGAAGAGGCACTTTCCAACTTCCTAGTGCATTCAAGTAATTTAAGCACCTTGGGGTGTATTCTTTCTGCCTTTCTCAGGCTGCTTCCAAGTCACTGCTACTTCCTGTCGTTAATCCCCTTGATTAATGGGCTCCTCCTGTGCCTTCTCTTGCAATCTCCAGTGGTCTATTTCCGTATTTACCAGCACTTTGAAATGTCCCCCTTTTGTGTACTTTTTGGCGGTGCCCTTTTGCAACTGAGTGTGCGCACTTTTGTGGAAGATCAGCGGAACCCCGTGCAGTGCTGCTGCTACGCTGTGTCCGACTCGTTCATTGAACCCGACACGTGGATCTCATTTAACCTGGGTCGGCGCGTGCCAGCACGAAGTTGATGGTCCTCTAGCCTGTGTGTGTGTGTGTGTGTTTGGTGTCAGTGGCGTTGCGTCTGTCCCCGTTTCGGCCACGCACACAGTAATCATGGAAAGTGGACGGCGCTTCTGGCAGCACTGAAGTGTCCGTTTGTGCTGGCAAGCTCTCTGGGTGTTTGCTATTCCGTGTCAATCCAAATATCGCCGTTTCTACCAGATTACTTACCTCACGCATCTGTGTACTTAAAATTTGTGTCTAGGGGGACTAGGCTAGTTCTTGCTGGTTATGCTGTTTCAATGTCTTATTCGCATTTTTGCCGTTTTCCGGTCGTTTTAGTCGTGCTATTTACCAAGTAGCTTTATTGTTTCGGAAAGGCACCCACACTGCGATGTCAATTAACCCAATCAGGCCTTCCAAAGACACACTTTTGATTGCCCGTGCTAAAAATACAATTTTAATTTTTTTGACGTCCATGTGATTGCATGTTGAAATGAGGACTATTGCTTCGTAAGCGCACATGATCGTCGCTGCTTCACACGCACTTTTCCCGCGCTCGGCATTTTAAACAGAGATTCTACCTGTCGGAAGTATTCGCAGGCTGCAACTTTCTGCAATTTAGTGACCGATAAGTGGTCCTGCCTTTTTTCCTTTTTCTCATGTCACCTATGTGTGTGAATCGGCACTTTTGAAGATCTTGCAATAGTACTTAAATCCGATTTCAATAGTCAATCACTCCGCATTTGATCAAATGCCGTTCTCAAGTTGAGTCAAAACGCTCCAAGGGGTCAAATGCACCTGAAATTCAAGTCACATGGAGCACAACAGGAGTGGGTGACCGAAATGGCAGCCGCGTTACTCAATGCTCCACGACGGTTAGAGAAGCACAGAAGGGAAGGGATCCACTGTCTTGGGGGGCATGTTGCTGAGGGTTTTTGGGTTTTTTTTTAAGCGAAATTCGTGTCTATGGACTTGAACTCTTCATCATTACTCGTAATGATTTGTTGTGGGCCCCAGCATGTGGTCTTGAACCACGCCGAGGCCACGGAATTAACCCTGGCCCGATTACGCCTCCCAGATACCCGCGATGAAGAAAAAGACTGGAGAGGACGTGGACACAACCGTCTACTTCAGAGCTCAACCAAGTTGGTGTCGTGTGGGGGATTTGTGCGTTTGTTTTTGTACCTCGGATGTGTGAGCCATACATGCGCTAACATCGAGACCTAGGTGTGAGGATCCTCCAGGATCAATGGTCGTGCGAATGAGGGGGAGTTGGGGATCCGTGCGGCTGGCGACATGCTGCGAAAAGGGGAACCCTGTGACGGAGGCTGAAGTGATCAGATTAGCGAGTGTGAATCAGCGCGATTCACAATAGATTTACCTTGAGATAGTTACGTCTTCCTATGGATTTGCTGAAATATTTAGGACTACTGCCATGGTCGTAATCGAATACATTCAACAAACGCAGCAACATTTTACAACTGATAGTTGCGAACCTGATCATGTAGACCGTCGATGACAAAGATCAACGACTACTTCAAGAGTCTGCTTGTTTGCAAAGCTGCAAACGGGCATTGGTGTTCCAGATTTGTGGGATCTCATTGATTCAAAACAGCGAATGAGACAGGTCATCGTCCCGCCCTCGTTGTCTGTTTGGCGAAACTTCTTTACGGCGAATCACTTATCGGGTTGCATGGGTTTTGGTTTTTCGTCTCTGGCATTCCTGGAACACATTTTTCCACCCGAAACAGGAATACATGACACACAGATTCGCATGAGCCGAATTCTACTCGCAGAATTCGCCTATGCACAAATTAATAATTTGATCACCTAAATAGGTGCTTGTGAACCTACGCATGGGTGTGCATCGTCCGTCCGTTTACCTCTATTGGTCTACTTCATTTCAAAGGCCAATTATGCAATTTCGGCATCCTTGGATCCTCGTTTGCCAATCATGCTGCTTGTTTATAACACGCAGTTTTTGCTGCGTAAAACGCGTCGTTCCAGTCTGTTGAGACCGCCGCCATTATTAATGCACTTGACTTGATTGACTAAGCGCGAAGGAGGGGGAGGCGGTGGTGGAGGAGGAGGACGCAGAGTTTGTTTAGCCTCCTACCTCGCATGCCTTGTAGTCCCTCTTTTTTCACTCTCAACTGTTGCGCTCCGCTAGTCTTCCTCTTCTCTGTGTGCGCTTCATGCTTGCCTGGGCACGGACCGACGTGGTGCAAAGACGAGCGGTTATTTGCCCGGTGGTTTGTGAAGTGCCTTGCTTTTTGAGATACTTAAAAATGCATTATTTCGTACCAGCTAATTCGTTTACACTGGCAGTCACCAGTCCCAGTTTGGTGAGTGAGGCATCGCTTCAAGACAGAGCTCTACGGCAACCGAGGCATAAATTAACTCGCCCAACAGACCAGCTAGGACGTTACGGTAATTTGTTGGGTGTTCGTTGAACCGCCAGGTGACCTAAGCTGATCAACAGGCCTCAAATGTCGCGGATCTAAACGAAATGGGCGTCGGGAGGTGCTGCTGTTGTGCCGTTGAATGCAAAGTGGGTCCGTCTGGGGGGGGGGGACGGAGGAGGTAGATTGGATACAGGTGACAAAGAATTTAGCCACGCATGACTGTTTTGTTTTGTGTTCCGACGGAGATGAGTTGACAAGGCTCATCAATTAAAACGAGACGCGCAATCCGACGTCGGGTGAACTCGCTTCTCGCCGAAGTGGTGTTTCTAGCCAACCACTCAGGTAATCCGGCTGCACGAACGTTCAGTATTCGCAGGCGTTAATACTCGTTGGCAATGCAAGTTCCATCTTGCTGAAGCGTTCCATCCACTGCACTAAGTGGACTTGGCCTCGACTGCTCATTGTCCGGCTTCAAGCGGCCAATTGTTTCGATGTAGACAAAAAAAACCAGTCAAATGACTTGGTCCAAGATTTTCCAACGCAAGTAAAGTTGACAGGCTGCCGAGAGGATGTTAGTATTTTACTAAACATCCCAGAAGATGTCTCCGCGTATCTAGTGGACCTACTTTTCGGGCTATGATGTTCTGTTGTATATGTCTATGGGACAACAAAATCCACTGTCAAAATTGCCGCTCTTTTTTTTCAGATACGTCAACTCTGCAGTGCCTGTCGTCTGCACCTTAGAAAGTACGCTGAACTCCCAAAAGTGCCGGAGGTGAAGACTGAAGGAGTTGGCGAAAACGGCGCCCCCGGAACTGCCAAGACCAATTGGCCGGCAGACGGTGGCTGCGAGCAGGTGCGTCGATTCTCAAAACTACCTACACGCTTTAAGTGCTTTTCTTTTTGTTGTTTCAAATCCCGGCGAGGTGATCAGTTAAAAACGCCCCCCCCCCGCTGCCAGTAAATTCGCGTGATGTTCGGTGAAACCGTTGCTTTTTCTCACACCACCTTGCCAAAGCCTGATTGGTTGAATGTTGAAGGACGTCTTGATGGAAGATCGTGTTATTGCATTAAAAGGTGGCATTCTCTCCCATGGCTCTTGTTAAACAAACTGCACGTCAGAGCAGCGTCAAGTAGTCTCCGTGGCGAATTCCTTCCTTATTGGAAAGTGGTCGTACTGTATGCAGCGTCCGAGCTAAGCGGACTGTCGACTGGTGTAAAGGCCAGCGTATGCTAATTTGATATCATGCTCCTGTAGTGAGCGTTCATCAAACCAGCGCGAATGAGGCTTATTCCCGAGTTGGTCGGATGTCGTCGACTAGAGTTGACGTTCGAGATGCACTCACGTGCTAGGGTATAAAAGGGCTTGGGTGGTCAAATGCTATCGTTGGTCCTGCTTCCCTTCTTGGGCTGTTGCGGACTGTCAACTGGCAGGGTTCTAAGGTAGTGCTAATGACGTCGCTCCGGTAAGTGCTCAATAACTCCACACGCCTTTTTGGCGTCTGTAGGCCATCAGGCTGCTGCTGCTGCTTGCCTGCCCTCTGCACGAAGATTAATGGCCTATTTTCGCTCCGTCTACTTTTTTTCCTAGTGCATTTACCGTCACGGTTTTGCTTCTCTCGCAAAGCGACTTTGACGGGTTTGTTCAACGCTCTCTTTTTTTGTTCTTCTAGATCCCGGGGAAAGGCAGCGCAGATGACGGTAAGCGCCATACTCTTTTGCGTAGTTGGCTTATTCGCTAAGCTCCCGTCACACACAAATCACCTTTGTTGCAGTCACAGTAATTATCCATTCAATTTTAAGGCGGGTTGACTACCTACAGGTGACACTATGGCCTCAGATAACCGGCCTTTAGTGTCTCAGCCAAAGGCCCCACTTATGTAGGTCAAGAATGACCTTGACTGATGGATGAAGCGGATTAACTCAGATGGAGCTGTCAGTAGGGTGCCCCGTGCGTGACTCACCCATTGGAATTGTGTAAACAATGACGAAATCCGTCTTGGGGAATGCCGGATCCCAACGCTCTCCCATCGTTGAATGCGTTTTCGAATGAATACATGACTCTGATTGGTTTAACTATTTAAACCTATCAGCCGCGATCGATATCCTATCTGTGGGTTAATTGGTCAGTCAGGATATTGCAGTCTGCTTATTTTGGCTGCAAATACCCTGTTCGCATTGGCATGTACCATTTAGTTTTTTTAGTCTTCATTTTGTACGTCCGTGTTCTCTCAACTGTGCAGGGCTGGTGGTTTTTTCCTGTTTTTTTCCCCGATGTTGTCTTGCTTATTTCACCAACGCCCAACAAATGCGCATTTTTTGCAGTTTGAATAGTTTTATTTTTGGAGAAGGCGCTCTAATTGTGCCTTTTTTCCCTCTCTCTCGCTTTGTAAAGAATTCCTGTCCAGTTTATTGTGTTTAACCAAAACAATAATTAGGGGAGTCTGCAGCGCGTCAAGTAACAATAATGTTCTGCTTGCATTTTCGTTACGTTATTCTCTCTCTCTCTCTCGCCCTCTCCCTCTCCCTGTTCCTTCTTTTTGTGCTCGTGCGCTGCAACCATGTGCCTTTGTTTGCGTTTAGCAGTTGGTCGTTTTAACTTTACGCATAATGTCGCCCTGGCAGCACCCCTCGCTGGCTTATTTCTCACCTCCAGCAAAATGGCCACTTCCTGCGTCGACCCACGATCTGCAAAATCCGCAGTGTCGGTCAATCGACCCCCCGAGGGGTGCCATGGTCACTTTCGTAATCAAGATAGTTCCCCTGAGGCATTGGTCGCAGCCTTCGTGCGCCTGGTTATAAGCTGGTGTTGACAGTGTGATAATGTGATTAGATGGCAGCGACTTATTTCGTCGCAAACAACTTCTGTGCTGGTGTCGTGAGACACACTAACATGCCCCCAACGCCAGTGCCGTTTGGCGTCCTCTTGACCCAAGAGCCGGAGGAGGAGCCATTCTAGTTCATAATCAAAGCATGCAATCGTTGGGGTCAGTGATTAGGACATAAATTCGAGCATGTATCACCGAAACACCATAAACAGTATTGTAGTTTTTTTTGCCAATTAATGTCGTTTATGCAGTCAGATTTCAAATGAGCCTTGTTAACTTGTTCTCGCATTCAACCCAAGGGGACATCGTTGGCCCTGGCGACAGCAACAAGTGGATTTTGATTGGGCAATCAGTGCCGATGTGTACCGGTCGCAAAATCGCTAGTCTTGGAAGAATCAATAACACCGTGGGAAACCAGTCCCCACATCGATCAAGTCCCATGGCTCACTTGTTGCCTTTTCTAATCGTTTTTTTAAATGTCGTTAACCCCACCTCTCCCCAGGCACGATGCAGCCAGTCGCCGGAAATGGCCTTCGTGTTGCTCGTTTAAATGGACCACTTTGGTTTTGCTTCGTGGATTTTCTAAAATGCGTGATCCCCGTGGACCATTTCATTAGTCATTTGTCATGTCGTTCGAAAGCTTGAATTGCCTTGCGCACCTGTGCGTGTAGCCAAGGCAATGCCGCACCGGCGAATTCAATTTCACCTCTCATGACAGCGCTAATGGTCGCCGCGCACGCTAACCAAGTTTCATGTTTCTGGGAAGGTGCGGTCTTGGACTGTTTTTTTAAAGTCATGCTTAGACCCCTGACGCTGGTAATGCCGGGAGTTGATTCTTGACGTCGCGACAGAGTGAATGAGGCAAATTTGTTGGCAGTCAGTAAGTGTCTACAAGCCTTTTCCAATTTTGCCAACACCACCGTCACTAACCCTGACCATAATTCCCCTTCTTGGCGCGCACACGCAGACCAAGGTTCAAATTCCTGTCTCTTATTTTTTACTAATTGCCTACTGCAATTTCCACAGTTTCTGTCCACTCCTCTGCTGATTTGTCACAGTGTTTAGTTGTGTAGTTGTGGGACGTCGTTTTGTTCGTTTATTCTCGAACGTATTCCTTTTTCTGATTAACTAAACCCGCTTCTTTTGGAATCCTCTCAATCCTCCTGAATTACTAATTCATTATTATCATAAGCTACATCTCTTTCCTTCAAGTAAACGAATTTTTCGAGTATATTTCACATTTGCTTTGTACGTCCTCGGATATCCCTACATTCATGTGTGTTACATCACACTAGAAACGCCCAGTGTGGTGGTTTACCAAGAGTTGTCGTAATCGTTCCACTGAAGAACCATCCAAAGCCTCCTGATCGCCCCTTTCCGTCGACCTGTGTTGCCAGTGATGAATTCTACTTTTCTTGCGATTTCTTCCTCCATTTGGTCAAACTGCCAACCTGCCTATTCATCTGGTATTTCCATTCAGCTGATTTGGGAGCTGTGAGGTCGCTGACCTTGGTGTTACTGAAAAATGTTCTTTTTCGTCGACGGTTTGTACGTAACAGAGGAAAAAACAACTTCAAAAAGACTATTGGGCTAGGTGATTGGCTGGAGGTATTCGTGAATTCGCAACATCTCTCGGATACTCCCAACCCAACAGATTCAAGCTACCGAGGCAGACTTCGCTTCTCGGAATTAGTTGTACTTAAACTGCGACCGCTGTAAGGACCACCTGGTTCCCGGGCATTCGCCTGCTTAACACGATGTTCCAGCACTCGCATCCACCCGTCTATCGCCGAAATGCCATGCACTGTTGCCGCAACCGCACCTTCAGAATCCAAAAAGGACACCAGACGTTATCGAGATCCACTGGTTTTCGAAGAAGAGCCTTTAGGCATTGGAAAACCGTAGTTTTTACTCCATCGTGGAAATCTTAGGTCCTGAACTGATGCAGTCCGCTGCCCTTTGCAGCATTTCCAGGCTCCAATGGTTATCCGTTTTTATTGACAATTAACCAAATCGGGGTCTTACTGTTGTCGCGGCTTGAGGCTACCTCCACGACCCTGGTTATGGAAAAAACTGACCCGACAAAGAATCGGCAACTTTTTTTCATCCTTTGTTTTACGCCCCCATTAATCATCGGAAGTGAAATGGAGCTTGTCGCTAAACTGTTTTGGTTTGCGAGACGCGAATGCAGCCGCGGCAACGGTGAGTGGCGTTTTTCAACAGGGCCCTCCTATACCAACCACCACCGCCGCCGCCACCATGTTCACGCGAATTACGCTGTTTTGACCACCGAGTCGCTGCCTTGGCACCCGATGAATCATCGCCCCGGAGTTAGACCAGTGACCCTCTTCCTTATCGTTTTTTTCTCCCCCTCAAAAGTACAACGCACCAGCAGACACTACTCAGCCTTGAGCCTGTCTGTGCGTAAATCGGAAAATCGATATTCGTGCACCCTTGGCGGGCGGTTCATGCGCTGTGGGCCTTAGTCGAGATTTCGTGTAGCTGAGTTGCGGCCGCACTTCGCTCGGCATGCCCTCCCGAAACGAACGAAGGCGGAAGGCGTCGGGCTGGGTTGGGGGTATCCGAGAGATGCTGCGGATTCACGAGTACCTCGTCGCTAAGAGTGATGAAAGTATCCTCTCAAGGCTCACCCGTGAGCGCATCATTCAGCTGTCTACGGGGCTCCCACATGCGGACAACGGGAGACGCGTGGTTTCCCTGAGGCTGCTCCATCGACTGACCTCGTCTTTGCCGCGCGCCGTGGTGGTGCCTTGTACGTGTCCCCTCCGGTCTAACCAAGCATTTATCACGCTGCGCTGTATTCTCGGCTGTCGCCGTTACTCCTGGCCGTCACCTTTTTGACACATTTTTGGGTCGATGTTTTTTTTTGTTTGTTTGTTCACGTTGTCCCCTTTTCTACCTTTGTGCGCGATTCCGTGGTGTGTGCGTTAGTGAAAATAAACTGTGTCGTCCCTTAGCCTCCATCCAGGCGTTCTTGTGATCTTTCTTGGCTATCCTGTCTCCTTTTTTTTTATGAATTCGCTTGTTTATGAGGAGATTAACCACCTCTGGCAGACCCTTTGCTTGTGTGTTTAAAGCTTTTACTTCAGAAAAGTGAATAGCCGCCCGGCAGGGATTGCATGACGGAGTTTGTTCACGTACACTTTTCTTCTTTCCTTTAGTCGTCGTCTAACATCGCTATAACGTAGTTTTTTTGCGTAGTTGGCTTTGTTTGAAAAAAAAAGTATCTAAAGTAGTCTCGCGTCTGCGCCCTCCATAGACGATTAGGGAACCTCTGTGTTTGCTTTATAGGTAGTTTTTCTTTCGTTTCCTATCCTTAAAGCGTTTGTGCTCTGAAGGCGGCGCTGCAATTGTCAAACGACCTTTATGTGCAGCATAGCAACTGCTGTCACTTCATTGCAAGATGCTATCTACGGTAGCGCGCAGGAATTAGTGCAATCTCCCTTTTCGGAGGCATTTTGCTTGACGGTTTTAGTTTATTTCAAAACTAGGTTATGGCGACAAGCCGCCCTCGTCAATGTTTCCCCTGAACGGGCTTGGAGGATCGGCAGACGATGCCGGGGGCGGGGCGAACTCCGCATTTTCACCGGTCTCCGCGTGCTCCTTCTGCGACGTCTACTCGCCCACGTATGCCTCCTGCTGGCCCTCGCCCCTGATCAGACTCGAACACAAGGCTGAAGTCGTCCCAGTCATCTCCTCCGAAGCCCTCAAGCCGGAGAAAGCGCTTCTCTCCGGTCCAGGCGGTGGTGGTGGTGGTGGTAGTGGTGCTGATGGAGGTGGCGATGAAGCGCCTCAGATCGGCGATGGCCCCTCAGGTGGGTCTAGGTTCTTGTCTGTGTGGGACTTGCGATCTCTTCAGCCAGGTTTTTCGCCTTCTAGTTTTCGTTATTCCTTCGTCAGCTACTTCGGGAGTCGTCAGTAGGCAAGAATTTTTAGGTATTTTTCGCTAACTCCAGCTTCCGGAATCCGTGTAATACTTTTTTGCCTTCACCACCAAATGGATCTGTGTGGTGGCGAACCATGTGTAACTGGGGTGTTGGACATTGAATAAGAAAGTCCATTTTCTCTAAAAAAGAAAACAAATCAGGAAGTCATTAATAATGGAATATCCAGAACGTGGTTTGGCGGAGGAGCCCGTGTATGTGCATTAGTGATTAAGCCATGAGTACACCCCCCACCCCTGTTTTGCAGCGAGACCGTCTGCTCACACACCCCCGTGTATGTCTCACCCCCACGCTACCCGTTCATTCCTCTGCACTGCATCTGAATACACACACACACAGCAGCACAACGAGGTCGAAGCATCTAGTAGACGGTTGTCTCCGCCACCTCTGGCCTTCTTACTTCCTCTGCTATCTTCGCAGACCTTGTTTTGGAACTAGGTTATAGTTATTAGTGACTTCATCGCCTCACCTCTTCGTATCGACTTCCTCATGGCGCTCCAACGAAAATTGCTGCCTTGGAGGCGTCCGATACACTGAAATATCTCTTCGTGGCGATTTTCGCGAGTTCTAGGTTGTGATTAATTTTTTTTATCAACTTCCATTTTAGAAAGGACCATCACTTCGCCAGAACCAGCAGCCGACAACCCGGCGACCGCGGCCGCCCCGATCGCCGTGGACGGAGCGAACCCCGTCCCACCCGGCCCCGTCTCGGACATGCTTTGCATCAGCCCGGAGCCCGTCTCCGCGGAGGAGTCCGCTGAGGTCGCCGCAATCATCGACGCCCAGAACGTCCCCTCGATGTCGTGCTCAAGGTGAAGTGGTGCTCCAGCGCTCTGCGCTGTCGTCACCTCGTCTTCGACGAACTGTCTTAATTGTTCCACTCTTGGGCTTTCAGCATGGTGCACACCTCGAAGCACGGCGCGCTGAGACGCGTTTGGGACCGATCGGTGGTGCTGCCACCGGGTCCGGCTAGTCCCGACGGCAAGGTGCGCGTGAACAGTGGCAGCTGCGCCAGGACCGACATCGAATTCCTCAGCTCCATGACAAAGCAGCCGCATCAGCAGCAGCCCCAACCTCACCCTGTCCCCGCGGTCTCCTACCCGAACCAGACTCTCCCTCCGCTGAAACGCTTCACCAATTACATGGCCTCCACCGGCGATGTTAGCGGTTCGGCCTTTAATTTACCTTACGTAAGTCTCCTTCAACCCTTCGTTGCCTGCTGGACCTGCTTAGTCTATTTCAAGAAGCTTGAGGATTTCTTGTGCAGAGTCTGACAGCCCTGTTGGTTCAATCATTTACCACGTTATTTCAACTCTGATCCTTGCGTAGCGCCACTAAAATTTGCTCTGGAAGATTGCCTGTAAGGGCGTTGTCCACAAGGGCCGTGCAAATCCCAAGGTCACCGCCATCCACTAGCACAATTCACACGCATGAGGTTTCGATTTCACGTAATACTTGTCGGTCTCTTTGACCCAAACTCTAACCTTTGTTATCCAGGACGCCGATTGTCACAAACATCAGCTTCCGCCGACACTGGCCCACCCGTTCCTGCCCAAGCCGCCTTCGGGCGACCCTCACCACCACCACCATCAAGTGCAGCATCACCAGCCCATGGAACTGACGTCTAAGTCCCGAAGCAACTCTTCAACCCCGCTTCCCCAACTATCTCACCCCTCCTCGCATCCTGATTTTCTTGCCTACACCCGTCTCTTAGCTGCTAACCACCACCACCACCAGCAGCAGCAGCAGCAGCAGCAAGCGGCTGCTCTCCCCGTGTCCGACCAGCCTCTCAACCTCAAGGGGACCGTCAGGGGTCCTTCGACGGCGTCGACGACGACGACGACAACGTCGTCGGGCGCCTCATCCTCGAATTCGACGACCCACGCCCGCGGCACCTTCTACCCACCAACAGGGGTTCCTCCGAACCCCGCCGGTGCGTCTGCCACATCGCCTTCCATCGCGAGGCACCATCACCAGACGATGCGCAGTGGAAGGTATTCCACGGGGACCTTGGGTGGGCCCTCAAGGGGACAACCGCCGACTACCCCTGGGAGACCGGTCACAGTGTCGAATCAGGCGTCATCGCAAATTGGCTCGCCGGGTTCTATGCATTTGCGTAAGTTGATCATGTGCATCTCCCCAGACATTGTTTTTCGTCCAAACTCACCCTTGCGTGATGCCCTTTCCACTTTCGCCCCTGTGCTTGACACGTCAAGGTAGATGTTGCTTCTTTTTTTACTCCTAGCCCAACCTGAACCAATGTCGGCGGTACCCGGTTGCTCCTCTTCTTCTAACCTCCCGCTTCCCAACGATGCTTCATTGAAGAAGTTTATGCTGGAGCAGCTCTTCGCCTCGTCACTGGCTCGCTCAGCAGCACCCTTTCACACCCCTTCGGCGCACCAGCAGAAGCCCTCCCACCACCCTGAGGCAGCGCCTCAGCGAGCCCCCGCGACAACCATCGACCTCATGGCGACCTCGGCGGCGGCGGCGTCGGCGTCGTCGTCGTCGTCGTCTGCTCCCTTCTCGCCATCAAAGTACAACCAGCCTCCGAGGTACACCCCATCGAATCCCCTTGATGTACTGACTCAGACCGCCGCCATGATCGTTGCCCAGCAACACCTGTCCATGACCACCCCCCAACAGGCCATCAACGCCCTCAGGGAGAGGATGCTGGAAGCTGCCAAGGAGGCCGTGATAGCGCGTGAGTACCCCCTGCATCCATCCTAAGTAACTGCTATTGACACCACAATGATGAGTCGTGGCAGACAGTGTTTTACCGTCTTGTCATTTTAACGTGTAGTCGATTTTCCGCCTTGCAATTGTAGTTGACGTCCCAGCTGACAGCGAGAATGCCTTGAGAGTGGCCAAATTGGCGGCCGCGGCGGTCGTAGAAATAGTCAGCAACCAAGTGCAGGCGCATCAGCAAGCCGGTGTAAGTCACCATCACTACCAGCAACTCCTGCAACAATTCCAAAGGCAGAGTCAGGAGGCCAGTCATCAACAACAACAGCAACAACAACAACAACAGCAGCAGCAACAGCAGCAGCAGCAGGCTTTCACGATGTCGATTTTGGCTCAGCTTCAACAGCACTACCTTGCTCAACAGCAGCAGCAGCAGCAACAGCAGCAGCAAGCGAAGAGGCATCCCCAGCCCCCGCCTAGCCTGCACCAGCATCATCCACTTCACTTACAGGGTAGCGCGTACGCCCACCAGCAGAAGCCGAGGGTGGCGGCGCCGGCGGTGCCAACGAGCACCATCTGGCCCCCCTCTTCGTCGGCGGTTGTGGGTTCTCGGGGGTTCCAGTCTCTGCCAGGGAACCCCAGCCACCGTGGGAGCGCCCACCACAACCAGCAGCCACCGCCGCCGCCCCCACCACCTGCTGCGCCTCCGCCTGGACTCGCGCAGATGCAGGCCGCTCAGTGGGCCAGTCAACTCTACGGAGGCGTCTTCCCCGGGGTCAATTCACGGGTGAGTTCCGCGCGTGGATCAGCCGCACTCTAGATGCCTTCAGGTTTTTCAAACCGGTCCCTCCTTGTTTGTAGGATCCTTCGACAGCAGCAGCCGCCGCGGCTCTTGCGATGCAGCTGAGCGCAGCGACCGCGGCAGCCAACCAGCGCACGCCCGTGGGATCCACCAGCGGCGGCGCCGGCCAATCAGCGTCCGTGGGGTCACCGACCACCAGCCAAGCGGCGACAGCAGCGCTCGCTGCGGCCATGCGACAGCAGGAGGTCTTCAACGAGTTTTTGCGTTTCATGCGCCAACAGCAGTCTAACTCATCGAGCCAATAACCGCGTGGTTCGCATTCTCCCCCCGCTCTTTGTCCTCTCGTCATCATGTACATTATCCTGAAAACGATGCTATCACTGTGACGCTCTGACGATACTCTCTCTCTCTCTCTCAGCGTGTGTGTGTGTGTGTTTGAGTGACTCGACCCCCCTATCCACCCCACGAGTGGGTACCGCGACCTCTTTTTTAGACATTGAATCAACGCCTATTTAGTGTCGAATTTACTCCCCTCTGGCTTTTTGTGAAATAAACCGGCATTTTATAGTACCACGTTGGCGTGTCTGGTTGGCTTAAAGGGGGACCGAGTGTGCTCTCGTCAGGGGTTTTCTCGTTTCGGTTGACATTTTTGCAGTCTAGTCATGCATCTTCGCTAGACAGCACTGGGGCACTGCCTGTAGTGACTGGCGTCAAGGCAACCACGACGGCGGGATGAATTTGATGATGGTGATGATGGCTGTAATGGCATGGGATGTGATGGCCGATTACACAGTCCCACGTATACCTGGTGTGGGTGGTGGCTATTTGGACAGAAGCCCTGACGCAAGACTCGAGTTATGATCTAACTGGTGCCGTTCACGGCAGCCAGCCAACCCGGGAATAATGAGGAGGCTGGAGGCAAAAAGAGGAACCAACTGTTTACCAAGACAGTCGTCGTTGACTATCGTGGTTCGCCTTGCGCAATTACTGAGTTCGGTCACGCGTGAACCGAGAATTTTGTGGCCCTGATCCAACAAGGTTCGCGATGTCTCTGACCTTCGGTGATGTGTAGATTGTTCAGTTATTTTGGTATTTATGTTAGACAGAATTAGCTAAGGGGCACTCACCTTCCCTAATTTATCACTGACATAAATTACTAAGCAAATTGCCACGTAGTCTTTAATTGAATATCAACGGAATGCTTGATTCGACTTAACAGTGGACTTAATAAATACCCCGGAGTGTAGAGGAGCCTCTAATTAGGCTCTCAGAGGAGTAGCTAATAATGACGTCAGTCCGAATTCCTACCACCCACCTCTGCCGCGGTTGCATGCGTCAGTAATGCAGAATCTGACTTCAAATCTGGCGAGAACCGTCCTGTTTGAGGAAAGAGGCAGCTCCCAGCGTGTGCATTGCCTCTATTTATGATCGCACACTTGAAGCAGCCAGTTTGGTAGGGTTGATTTTAGCGCGATTGCGCGAGGACTAAGGCTAAAAAACAGAGGCGAAAATCCATCTGGCAACGTTGAGATAACTCACAGCATTTTGAAGGCCTTCCAGGTGCCCATGAGAATTGTTGTGGTTACTGTTGTGGCCCCAGCATGTGGTCTTGAACTACGCCGGGGCCACGGAATTAACGCTGGCCAGATTACGTTTCCCCAATAGCCGCGATGATGAAAAAGGTAGGAGAGGACGTGGACACAACCGTCTACTTCAGAGCTCAACCACGTTGGTGTCGTTGTGTCATGTGTGGGGTTTGCGTGTGTGTACTTACACCTCGGATGTGTGGGACCTCGGGACCTGGGTGTGGGGATGCTCCAAGATAAATATCCGTGCGAATGAGGGGGGAGTTGAGGATCCGCGCGGCTGGCGACGTGCAAAGAGAGGGGGAACCCTGTGTCAGAGGTGGAGCGACCGGATTAAGGAGCGTAAATAGACACGATTCACAACAGTACCATGTTTATTCAACCCACTGGATTAGCGCGGACGTTTATCCTGGATGATCCCTGCGGGCAATAACAAACCCCCCCCATCCATGAGTCACGCTGGTTCACACATCTGAGCACTTGGTTATCTCCATCCGTGGAGCCGTCGACACCAGAACGGGGTCGCAACCACAAGCGTCAGAACGCTCCTCGCACCAACCCTCTCCACTCACACATGTGACAGAAGCACACAAATCACAGCAGCTAACAGCGGTTGTCTTCGGGTTTTTTTTCAATCCCACACTTCCGCTTGACGGGCATTTGACGTGTTCACTTTTTTACTTGACTCATTCAAAAAATGCTTTTTTTATATCCTAAATAGATGTGGGGACTTAGATTAGGGAGATAGCATGCAAAATCTTCACTTCTTGTTCCATGTTAATACGTCAACTAGTTTGGCAACCGGCCTTGATATGTCGGCTTTAAATCCTGTTACCTGGCTCAGCCAATAAAATATGCAACACATGAATATTCTGCTTGCAGTCTCGGGAAAGTTTGCAAACGCTTAGGCCTCATGTAGAGAATAAAAAGTGCGTTGACCTTGCGATGATGCCTTTTCCGGTTCCCTGGGAGTTAACAGACAACAGGATTTCAGTGTGGACTTGCTGATTGCAGCCGGTGACGCTTAGGTCCCACAAAAAATCGATAAATCCGGCTTCATAGCGTGTGGGCGCTGATCTGGAGTTTGAGTTGCTGTATCACGACTTCGTCATGACCTCGATCTATCCAATGCACCCAGAGGCTTACGAAGTGCAGCAGGTGTCAATGAGGCTCAGTTTTCAACAAAAGGTCTGACGCGAAGTAGTAAAATGCCCAGTCTGTAACCTTTTCACCGTTTATAGGACCACGGAATCAAGGTATTCACATGTAGTCAGAGAATACAGTTAGTGTGGAATTCATTGGTTCCGTATAATTAGCTGTTAATGTGACTGAAAAGTAGAACGAACTTGTACCTCGGAGCAGAAGCATGTGTCTAGCGTAAAAGATCATCATCTTACTCCAGCCAGCAATCGAATCTGAGATTCGCCGTTCTTGCATCACCACCCGACCGATGTTTCAGCTAGGCAGTATTTTTCTAAACAACATTTTTACTAAAACTAAATAAGTAGTTGAATTTATTAAAATTTGAACAGGATTCTGGTGCAAACTCGGATTTATGCAAGTCGATCTCTTGTTATATCCTTCCTTATGTAGTAAACTACATCAACTAGACTGGTATTCACACAACGCGCGATAGTATGTTTAAAATCACGTCTGGCTTTTATTAATCCAATTAATAGTGATTATCAATGCGAAATAACTGGCCCTGTCAGTCACCACACACACACACACACACACACACACACACACACACACGAAACGCTAGCACAAAGCAAAATGCTCGAAGCCTTTTCCACTGTGCTAATAATTAATCTGTCATAATGCATTAACCCTGGTTTAATTACTGCGTGCAGTTGTGGCACAGCGTAGATGGGTTTTTTAAAGTACATTCACCACCTCCTCATGGTATTGTTTTGTTGTGAAATTTGGAGAACAATTCGTAACGTCGGGGTCACCAATTGTTGTTGGCCCCAGCATGTGGTCTTGAACCACGCCGGGGCCACTGACTTAACCCTGGCCCAAATTACGCCTCCCAGATACCCGCAATGAAGAAAAAGACTGGAGAGGACATGGACACAACCGTCTACTTCAGAGCTCAACCACGCTGGTGTCGTGTGTGGGGTTGTGCGTTTGTTTTTGTACCTTGGATGCGTGAGTCATAGGTGAGCTAACATCGAGACCTAGGTGTGAGGATAATCCAAGATAAATAGCCGTGTGAATGAGGGGGGAGTTGAGGATCCGCGGTGCTGGCGACATGCTGCGGAAAGGGGGACTCTGTGTCGTAGGCTGAAGTGACCGGATTAACAAGTGTGAATCAACACGAATCACAACACACTTTTCAAAGGCAGACCATCCTGTTGACTGGATGTGGTCTTACTCGTAACCCAATTTGAACCAAACCTTCAATCGAGCAATCAACACAAATCGAGGATTTTGAGGTAGTGCGGTGGTACTCGTATTCATTTCGCGTCGTGTTGATTGACTTGACATGAGACCGACTCCACAGTACGTTCAAAAATTCGCAAACCGTGGAATCAACCAACAATTGTGCAGAATAAAAGCAGCAATCGGCTAAGAGAACGACTGAAATAAAACTGAACCTATGTGTGATGAGGCTGGAGTGATCGGATTAAGGAGTGTGTATAAACTTAATACACAACAGTTTCTTGGAGTCCCAATCTCTTGCCTCTTTAACGAAAATCAAAGTGTTCCCAGAAAGAAGTGACTGGTTTACCTAACAATGATTACAAATCGATCATTTTAAAAATTCGATACTTCAGAGAAGTCAAAAAAGCGCATTTAGACTGGATCAATAAAACTGAGTCAGAATGGGAAAATGCGACATATGTTTCCGCTTTACTTGATATCGAATCGATTTGGGTTTTGTACAATTCATGTTAGAAATATCTTGGGGACTTGCTTACAATTGTAAAACTCTATGGAGAAAAAGTGTTTCTGGTGGATTCTTCTAGTTCTTAAGCGAGGTGGGATTTGAATCAGTTAGTAGTTTGGCTACCTTTTTAACACGTGGTGCAGTGTTTTGGCTTTCGTAACACTCGAAATCGGGATTAAGTAATTTCCAAGTGCATTTCCGAAGGTATCATTGGATATCGATCAGGTCCACACGTGGACTTCATCAAAGTTTAATCTTCAGGCCTTCGCTCTGTGCTTGCCTCCTAGCTCTTGTTGTTGGGATAATTCAAATTGAGAATCCAGGTTTTTTAGAGCGGAGTCACGCTCCTTTTTATGACAGACATGCGTGTGTGTGCGTGTGTGAGTGGCACAAGGAGGCTGCCATCGCTGAGTGCTTTGCCTTAACCCAGATTTCGACATCAAAGGAAAAGGCGCAATCTGCCACTAGCCTCAGCACTGACCTCTGAATTCGCGGCGCGGTGATTGGCTGGTTCAACAGCGGAAACATTCGTCTCCTCAGGCTCCTTTGAGCACCTGACACCTTGTCTTAGCACGAAACTCAACAATTTGTGTCTGCATTCACCTATTCCTGTGTCGAAAGACAGATTATCGACATTCAATGATCAAGGTGTTAATTATGAAGCCTGAATTTCGAGCTCAAAGCCAATTAGCCAATGCCAGTTCTAGTTCTGTACTCGTGAATTGCAGGTGGCAAAATCAAGATGCCTATTTAGTCATCAACTTGGGTATTGAATGCGCACATACCCACGACATTCTGAATCACTGGCTCGTCTGATGCGTAATTAGTAGTGCGTTTGCTTATTGTTTTACACGATACATGGTCTCATGAGCATAAAGCGATGCCAATATTAAGGAAGACAGATCCCATACCCACACAAACACTCACCTCGCGCATACTTGCGCCTCGATTTTGAAAAAAAAATGATTGGTAGTAAATTGTTTTGTCCAGAGTTGCATGTGATTAGATTTTGAGTGTCAGTTAGTCGCTGCCTTTTTGAATGCACCACGCCCTTGCGCTTGTGTGACAATGATGCTTTTGACCCCATTGCCGACAAGGGAGGAGGAAGTCGATCCAGTGTTTGTTTACCGCGTGATTCACGCTTGCACAAGAAATCACAGCGTGTTTGAGGCGAGGCTGCAAAAATAAGGCATTACCTCTACCCTCAAGAGTGCACTATTGCCTAATTTTAAACAAGGCCGTGTAAATTTAAAAATTTCGAGAATTTTACGATGAAGAATTTCAGGGGTGAATGAAGTTTGTTGCGAGTACAATGCAAGGGTTGCTAGAATAGGGGTTCGATGAGGTGATCTCCCTGAAATTCATCCATGGTCGACCATCATTGAGTAGGAGGCGAGCAGCAAGCAGGCACAGTTAGCAGACGTGAGCGCACACGATTCAATCGATTTTCGTTAATGCACTTCACGCAACCACGCGCGTTCAGAGATCGATACTTAGCGAAGCCAATGTAAACGCACCTGTTATCCCGTACACCAACGCACACCATTACTGCCGAAATAAATTAGTTGAGCTACATTTTTTACTTTCCTTTCGGTCGGGCCGTGTCAGTGTAGATTGTCGGTCCTGGTGCGGCTGTGAAAACCGCACCGAGGCCCGCTACACTACAAATCGAAGTTCTGAACATATCGAACTATTCTGATAAGTCACTATTCACCCACAATATTGATAAATAACTCTATTAGACATGCATTACTGGGGGCGCACTCACGCACTCACACAACACAACTAGGTTGAGCTGTCTAGTAGGCGACGTGTCTGCCAACTGTGGTCTTCTACTTGTCTTCTCAAGTACCTCAGCGCGGTTCAAGACCACCCGCCCAGGCCCTCAACAAACACGACGTTAGGGTAAGGGTCAATTTACTCGGATTGTCTTTTCAGAGTAAAGGTAAATGAAAATAAATATATGTAAATACAGGTGTGCGCATTCTGCGAAAAGAGAGGCAAGAGATGGCCAAAAAACGAGTATGCATTGGTGAAGCTCTAGAGCAGTAGCAGTATGCAAATGAAAATGACAGTCAAGTATATCGATGAAATCAGTTTGTCGAAATATTTGGCCCTTCTCAACTGCCTTCCGAGGACTTCGCGCATTTCACTCCTTTTGTTCACGTGGGGAAAAGGCACCAAGGGTTTTGGCAGGCCCAAAAACTTGCAGAGGGGATCCCAGCCGTCTTTCGGGTCAAACACTAGTAATCGGTCATTTGGGACACTGGCAATTACTCCAGCGTTCCACTTGTTGAAGGCGTGTTTAAGGTCGGAATCAGAAAACGTGGAGAAGTCTGGACCGATGGTTTTCCCGAACATAATGTCGTGAAGTTCCAACAGACTCGAGGTGTTGGCCAGCGCATGGACTATCCGAAGACCCCAACTTGGTTTCTGAAGCATTTCAGGGGAGAGCATTGTCGCTCGGCAACTCGCCACCCAATCGTCGGCGTCTCGGACGGTGAGGATAACCTGAAAAGTTTAGCAATTATGATTCACATCAGCCTCAGTCCAACACTTAAGTTCGCATTAACGACTAGTACATTGGTCTCAGCCTAAACGAAAGTCGATAAGTTTTGCTCCCATGTCGTACCAATCACCTACTAATAGCCAATCATAACAACCACGGAGAGGTTGTGGCGACCAGCAAGCCAGCACACTGGGCATTCGTGAGCGAACGCAAATCAATCGATTTTTTTTCGTGAATGCACTGTTGTGGTCAGACAGCCACCGCGCGTGATCGCTGCGTGTCTGCTTGCCCGACTGTATCGATGACTCACCCTCTTTGTTATTGATTTTTTGTTAGCAGTCGCCTGTAATGCACGCGTATCGATATGCACACAGAAACTAGTTACTCGATTTTACTCGACTGGACTTGACTGGCGTGACGCGAGTAAACGGTCGTGTTCCCTGTCAACTCTGTCTTCTCTCTTCTTGGGTTGTGACCGGCCGTTATTTATAGAGCTTTTCGGTAGTGCTAATTTAGGTGATGATTTACCTTGGCTTCAGGATGCGCGTCTAATAATTCCTTGTAGAAGGCACAGGCAGGGTAGTCGACAGTGGCGCCGTAGCCGCTAAGGGGCTGATCGATGCCCCCACCGGCGTTCCTGTACACTTCTATCCACTGGCGGATGGCGGGTTCGCGTAGTTCGCGGGCAACGCGCGACATGTGGTAGCAGGGTCGTTGAAGCAGATACTCCAGCGAAGTTTGCAAACTTAAAGTCCCCGTTCTCATGAGACCAGCACCGATCACTAGGAGCTTTTCAGAATTCGGGGCCTTTTGGTCGAAACACAACACCGACGTGTCTGTGAAGGGGAAAAAGGGGACTAAATAAACCCCATTTTAAAATTCCCTGAGTGGTACAGATTGCAGGTGACCGCGTTCGTAAGCCCAACTGGCCTCATGGCCGAGCAAGCATTCTGATCTACGCTAATGCGATCTATAAATTATTATGAAGGACAATGATCCATGATTGAGTTCCTTTAAAGCTGCCACAATTGCGTAATTCTTCCAAAAAGAGCATACGTAGGCATGTTTACTTGTTCTTAAACAAGTCAAAATTCACATTACCCACGGTCCAAATGGTAAAATTGGTTAACATTCAGGTCGAATGTACCAACAACCTACAACAATCTGAGAGTGTGTACGGATGCAAAATGCATCATTTAGTCCATCTAGAAGCTCCACAGTTAACCTCGAGCGTTGTGCCATTACTCGGAATTTTTTGTGGGATAGCTAAGTCCTCCTCGTAGATTCGCTGAAAGATTAGGGAGAAATCTTTACCACGTGTCTAATCAAATCCATGCAGTGAGCGCAGCAAGTGTGATTAATGTGGTCTCATTTCTCGCAAAACTCATCTTGTAGACCGTCGCTGACAAAGATCAACGACTACTTCACCAATCTGCTTGTTGGCAAAGCTGCGAGCAGGCATTGGTGTTCCAGATTCGTGGGATCCCATTGATTCAAAGCAGTGACTGAGACAGGCCATCGTCCCGCTCTCGTTGTCTGTTTGGCGAAACGTCTTTACAACGACAACACTTATCGGCTTTTCGGGTGTTGAGTTTGCGTTTCCACCCGACACACAAATGCGCTCAAATTGACACGAGTAGGCTGTGTTCACATGACCTTACTAGGTTTACGACAGTCGCCTTTGCATAGATCAATAGTTTGGGCATTTGAGTAGGTGCTATTAAACTCAATAAGGGGTGCGTGTGGTTAAGAGTGGACTGTCTGCCAGGTAACCCTTGCCTTACCCGCCAACACTAAATCTAATTTGGCAGCGTTGCATGCATTCGTGCCAATGAATGCGTTACGCAGTCGCCACAACAAGTGGTTTTTAGCTCAGTTGAAGTTTGATCTCGCGGGGCACGATTTGTGATCCCAGAGCCAACTTATTTCTGTTCTAGTGATGTAACACGCAACGGCCAAAGGAACGCAGGAAGATGTTGCGATTATTTATGGAATCGTAGCAGTGTACTTTTGTTTTCTAACTTTCCCACGTGACGGCTTGTAGATTGCGATTTTTGCTACTGGCAAATATGTAACACGTGAAAGATTGGCTTGGTGAAAAAAAAAACTTGCTACAGTCAAGCTCTTAAAGCTGGCAGCTTCGGCATCTAATTCCCATATTTTCTTGGTTTAAAACCAAGGTATAACTCTTGAGCTTCTTACACAACCAGCACGATGCTAATCTGTCAAACTGACGACTAGCTTAACTGCTATGGACCTGTCGAACTCCTAACAAGTGTTCACATAAAAACTTAAATCAGTATTGAAATGTGGGATTTTTTGAAATTTAGTCAGCTGCATAGTCTGTAGTGGGAATCATTTACTCCAAAATGTTTCTCGTGCAAGAATGTGGGTGTACATTCTTAGTCGTAAGTCACTTTTAACGGAAGTTATGTCCCAAAGCCCAGACCTGATTAAACGCAAAAAGTCTATGTGTAAATCCGGCTGATAATGTCCCCAGCAATAAGATCTTCTACTTCATGCTGTTTAACAAGGGGTCAAATAAATCGACAAGAATGTGAAAAAATGTTTCCACAGGTCGCCATGACAGTGAAGGCGACAATTGCCTTCAGAGTTATCCTTAGACGCAAACCACAAACTGGAGCAAGACAAGTGTGGCATCATTTTAATTGCAATGAATGAGGTATTCCTGGATTGCTGTGTCAGTATTCCGCGGTATGCACTACTATTCAAATCGTTGGCAGAATTGTAAATCAATAAATTGTGACATTAATGTGAAGCGAGGCACTCCCATTTTCCAAAAGAACGCTTTGACTCCACTGCAAACATTTTTTATACTAATAATGATTTAAAAGATGCAGTTAACCCAGTACAGAGTAGGTTAAAAATTTCCAGACAGCACTAATTAACTGAGACAGTAATTTTTGGTAACTTAATGGGTAAACATGTTATGCACTTTGTTGGACTTTCACATTAAAAAAAAGAGGATTTACTGAAACATGACGACATTTGTTCGTTTACCAATGTCTGGTACACTGTCTCGCTCTAAGAGTAGCCCGTAAACGCATAATGGGAGTTTAAATTCGATCCGTACGTGGTGCAAAAAGGAGGTAACGGTCTTGGACCTCATGGGGCACATGGTCCATAGGGGGCATTCTCAAATAAAGGCAAACTGAAATAACTTTAAATTCGACAACCATATTTGGATGGATCTTACGCTTAATTTGGTAGATTATCGGGGGTGCGGAGACTCATCAAACGCCAGATCACAAGTGAGCATCGTCGTGATACAAGATAAGGTTTTAGAGGTTATTCCTCAGCATTAAGGGCCAATAAAAATGAGCTCACAAGGACTGCAAAGCTGTCTCCAGTCCTTGATAACATCGAGCATTCAATCAAAACGCTCTCAAAAACATAGGAAAAATGGTGTCTTGAAGTAAGCAATATCAACACAGACTACTACATTGACCAGTAGATGATGTGCGGGTTGAATCAAAGTCACATCAAATCACTTCATGAATAGATGAAGTTAGAAAAATACTCCCTCAACTCTAAAAAAAGCTTCAGTTTCTTAAGAGCAGTGGGCTTAATCACAGGAAGTACGTTGGTTTGATGCTCTTGTAGATTTGGCCAATCGCTTTGCAGAGACTTTTGGCACAAAATCGTACCCTATTGTGTCAGCACAGGTCAAATGATAAGAGTAAACACGATAAGAAGGTTGTTAGCATCGAGACATGGTTGTTAAACCGCATCTAACACGCCAGGAGATAAAATTTTGAAGTAGAACGAAACTTACCCATTTCTGCCTAAATTGGCAACCCGTTTCGTCAGAAATATATATATGCGTTTGCCACCAACCAATCGACGTAACACATAAGACTACGGCGTTTTTAGTACAAAAATAATCGAGGGTGTTGCGTCAGTAATAACTGTGCTTTAGTCGCGTTCTGAAGAAAAAAATTCGAGGGAGAAAGTGCCACTCAGATGATGCAAAAAATGACTTGAAGGGCATTCGGAAATGGAAAAAGAATGCACTACACAGCTACTTGGAGGTAGAGGAGGCACGAAGGTTACTACCTACGCCCTGATTCTTTCGAATTTACAAAGGCTTCGAGAAAAACCAGTACTAAGGCAACAAACAGCACATAGTAGACGCTTTAAGAGAGTGATTTAGAAGGCAGTCATAATAGTGCGAATTTAGTTACAATTTTACATTAAACATTTTTTTATTTCGAAACATGAGGATGCATAGAATCCAGCTGAGAATCAGTGTTTTACTCAACCCAATTAATTGACGCCATTTCTGTTCAATCATGTTGAGGAGATATACAGAAGGCCTGTATTATTTGGATATGAGTTTGCGATCGGATGCTATAATGTGACTTGCCAGCTTGCTTAAAGCCTACTCATTTCAGTAATAAAAACCTTATTATAACAGAATATCAAGATCAAATTCACATGTTAGAAACCTCGGAATGGTTAAAATTATTTAAACCATGAAAATCGGTAAAGTGGATTGTATGCTTACATCAACATTGTGCGATGTGAGCAAAGTGGGTAAAGTCCGGTGCAAAAGTCTTCAGAACTACGGCAGAACACTTACACCAATGCTCAAAGAACTCTCTAGAAATTTAGTAATCAGTGGCATCCACGTATGCCCGAGATTTCCAAACTTTTTAGGGATCATCCGCCACGCAGGGGGTAAGCACATAGCCAATTTCTTGGAGCAATGGTGTCGTTGAACAGTCAAAAGACGAGATACGGTTCAACAGCTTGAATATGGGGTTCAAAAACGCACCTAAGTACATCTAAATAGGCCTTGGATGGTTTTAGTTGAAGAAGAGCCACCCATGACACCGGCGAATTCGGAGTAATTTCTGCAGAATGTATTGTAAGGCATTACGTACTTCTATTACTTGCATGCCTATTTCAAAGGGTTCCAGCTAATTAACTTGGTTTCATCAATGTTTGGCTTTCGGTGTACCCAGTATTTTCAATCGCCCTATTTTTCTCCCACGAATTGCAGCCCGTACTTTGTTGCCAATGGTGCAATAGTTCCTAATTACAGACAGAAAAACTTTTTGCTGCTTCCCACAGCCTGACAAGCAATGCTGAAGATAATCAGTTTGTTTAAGAGAAAAAGGAAACTACCAAATTAGGTTACTATTGCACTAGACTTGATACAAATCGGAGAGAGGTAGTGGCAACGAAGATCGAGGCCCATCATCGACAACATCGTCAAGAGCAGTGTAGTGGCTTAGTTAGTACTACCTTACAACTCTAACAATCTGAGAACAAAGGCATGACAGCCGACAGCGGATGCGGCCCTGCATTAGCGTTAAGCTAACCAAACGTATATTTGTGTAGGTGAACGCGCGTGCGCAACAAGCAATCGATAATTGTGACCAATAGAAAATGGGGATGAGTAATTAAGATCAATAACCCTGCAGGCAAGCTTCACTCACGCGTGATTGCTGACAGCCCGTTACAAGTGTTGGCTGGTGTTTTTTGAAGAAATTGCAAGTTTAGGACTAGGCCACTTAGACAATTCACCGATGCAAGAACATGAGGTAGCTTGAGCCTCAATTGTGATGCGACAAACTGGGTAAAATAGACACACGCATAGAAGCACGACTGGTCAACTAGTCAACACCAAACTTCTTTGACTTGTGGAGGTGATGGGGCCCAAGGAGCAAGCCCCACACTCCTCGAGAGCTTGATAAGATGGCGTTCTGAGTCGAAAATCGAGTCCACCCCTGCGTTGAGTCAAATTGCTATTGGAAACCATCTCGCATGCGCCCCAAATGCTTAACGAAAGCTCATTGGACGATTCGACTTGTGGCTGCTTTCGTTCGAATGTCGTTAAAGTGCGGGTCACTTCAGATTAAACTCCACATTTCTTGTACGAGCCAAAATCTCGAAATTCAACAATGCACAAGAATCCTTAGAAAGTGGCTGGCTATTAGAAAACACAGAGTAGTACATTCATAACAATTTGCGCTGTATTTTAAAGGAGGAAAAAAACGCTAAAATGCACAATTAATGGCAGCGACAGGTTGAAATTGAGGTGATACATGGCGGCAGGATCTGAGAGAAGCCGAGTGCGCGCAGACAACGGTGAGGGACTCGAAGAAACAGACGCCTGACGTCGCCATGGCTGCAAGTCAGCAAGCCCGATGCGTGATTTCATCGCAGATTGCAGCCGTGTACTCGGAGCACCTGGCGCCTCCACCGAGGTCCGCGGTGAGACACTGAAAACAGGCACAGGCGTTTGCATTAGAGGCGGCAAACAAGGCCTCAGAGAAGGGAGCACCTGTGTGCAAAATACCCGAATTGATGGGCACTCGCTGTAACCTTGTCGCCACGTCCCGAAAAGAGTTTTACAACGCGTTGCACCACACCTCAATCACGCCATACTTGACACTGTCAATGCTAAAATTCGCGTGGTGGTGGGTGGAAGGGGGAAAGGGGGCGGGAGAATCGAAAATCGAAGGCCGCGCACCTTTTTGCCACGAAGAACGGAGAAGACGGCGTCCTCGATTTTCTTGGCGTGCTCATTCAGACCCATGTGTCGCAGCATCATGATGGCGGAGAAGAGGAGGGCGGTTGGGTTGGCCCTGTCCTGGCCGGCGATGTCCGGAGCTGAGCCGTGCACCTAAACGCAGGCAAATTATTAAAACAGGCGTGAAGTCGCGACACCTGGGGATTTGTCCGGAGCAGGTGGGGGGTCTTGTAGCCAGGGCAGACGTTTTGTCGGCTGGGATAACACTGTGTCTGATTTAGACGCCTTAATAGCGAAGCTGTTGTACACCTTTAGTGTTTACAGGCCTATCGATTAATTTCAATCACCCAATAGCAAACCTGGGATTGTCCAAAATTCAAAATTGACACTGGCGAGGTCGAGAGACACTTAACGCATTCGAGTAGTGTTGGCCCCCCAAAAAGCACACCGAGAAGGTGGTGTAAAAATCGGTGACCATGTCCTTCCATCAACAGGAGAAAAGAAGGTGGAAACAGTAGTTTAGGCCGGCGCGACCACTCACAGATTCGAAAATGGCACAATCAGTGCCAATATTTCCACTGGGGGTGACACCAAGTCCCCCAATGAGGCCAGCTGCTAGGTCACTGAGGATGTCGCCGTAGAGGTTCGGCATCACGAGTACATCGAATTGCAGAGGGTCCTGCACCATGGTGAGACACACAGTGTCTAAAAACATCTCCCGAAACTTAATCCCTCGATACTTTTCAGCTTGTTCCCGACAGGCACGCAGGAAGAGGCCGTCTGACATTCGCCTGCAAGAATAATATCATTGCTACTATAAAACAACAGTAGCGCGAATTTTGCAAGTAGGATACTTTGCACACGTTCTCGATCTCTGACCCGAAATTTTGGTTTCAGGTCACGTTCCAACAAGTTCTAACAAAGTAGTTAGATGAGGGTGATTTCCACTAACAAGTCATGTAAATCCAGAAACTTAGAGTTTATTTGTAAAGAGGATGGGATAGAAAGCATTGGTGAATTGCGACATGCGGTGCGGTTGTACCACATCTTCCAGATCACAAATCGATATTAGGAAATGGCAATTGTGGGATGAAAGAATTACGACAAGTGAATCACACGCGGCAACCGATGCATGCAAAAATGAGGAAACGCCAGGCTTACATTATATTTGCCTTGTGAACAGCAGTCACGGTGGAGCGGCCGTTTTCCTCTGCGTACTTGAAGGCAAATTCGGCAACTCGAGAGCTAGCCTCGTAGGTGATTAGCTTGATGCTCTGGACAACGCCATCAACTATCTGCAAAAGCGATGCATTGTCCATCAAACAAGTGCTAGGCCACTTGGCTGGTAGGGACTACAATTTTTTTAGTTTCGTAACCCTTGTCGTGGAGTCGGTGTAATACAAATATAACGTATATTTTAATGACACCATCTCCATCAAGTCAAACCTGAACACGTGGACGGTATTCAAAATAATCTCTACCGAATTAGGCTTTAGAGGAAATAAATTAACACTTTCTAGCATCAGCCAAATTTAAAATCCGGGAGATGACACTAGATGGTTTGCATGGATTAATGGTCGACACATCCATCAATTGTTATCATTCAAAGTCGCGGAACATTAGTAAATGGATATGGGAGGATGGGATATCGCCACACAAGGTACACGGCGAACAACAAGGAAAATCAAGAAAAAACCAACCACATGTTCAATTCCGGAATATTCTCCTTCGGTATTCTCACGAATGGTCACTAGATCAACATTTTTGTAGGGTGTTTCATAGCCTTCAACAGACTTGCACGGACGAACATTTGCGTAGAGATTGAATTCTCTAAAACAACACGATAGACGTCCATAAAAGCATGAAAATGTACTTCACACAAAAGGTGTGGAATAATACCTTGATGGAAGGTTAACCCATCGGCATGCATTTTATAATTGACTGAGAAAGAGACGACAAGCAAACCTGGCCAAGTAAATGAAGATAGCATATTTACTTTCTCAGCGCAAGATTGAGGGATCTGTGACCCTTGCCAATGGGCGTGGCCAACGGCCCCTTTAGACCAATTCCGTGCTTGCGAATTACATCCAAGGAAGAACGGGGCATCTCAAAAACGCCGTCGGGTCCTTTGACCGGAGTAACATTAACGGGATCGAACGTAACAGGGACCTAGAATCACATGAAGAACACTACCTAATTATTCGATGACAATGAACGACATTCTTATTAAAGAAAAAAACCAATGCACAAATCATTTAGACAGGAATTAAAAGTAGTTTTTTTTCAATATGCTTACCATTGCTGCTTCAAATATTTTCTGAACGGAATCCGAAATTTCAGGACCGATCCCATCACCTGGAATGAGTGCTACAGTTCTAGTGCCGGAAGAGAGACCATGTTTAGGTAAATAGGTAGGAAATGAAGAAAACTTCAACAACAAACGACGAATGGACATTTGATAGGTATTTTATGTTTTGCGGTGGATATATGTAATGCTTAAAACACATATTAAAGCAAAGTCTAGCCATTGACTTGCACTTTCACGCATCAAATTATTGCATTATTTAAAGGGTTTTTATTACATTTCGGTTATGCAGGCAGTCAGCACAATTGAAATAACCTCTTTTACACTGTTGAATGCAACAAAATTTTTTGAGCACTTGAGCAAATCAACACAAAAATTGCCTTTGTTCACTTGCTATTTTATTTCTTATTTAGTTTTAAATCTTCCAGCTTTTGCATATTTTCAAGCATGGGGCATTCTGTGGACATGCATTTATGACATTTGCCCGACACATACTTAAGCGATTAAATTAATTTGATTTATTAGGTCAGAGTACCCACTGATTGAAAGGTGGTCTAACTTACGTAGGGGCATGGTTTTAATATGTGGATGCAGTCTAATGAACGAATTTAGTTTTGTACAGGTGAGCTGTGAATGGATGTTTTGCATTCATCATTTCTGTCGGCGCATTCCCATAAACTCCAATATCTCACTACTTTCCAATAATTAATAGATCTAATCAGCCTCCCTGTCATTCGTGCGGAACATCTGAGCACTCACCCGTAGGTATGCTTCCACATACCCATTTGAATCGAATCATCTAATAAATGGGTGCTTTTACTGCCCTCGGTCCTCGTATAGTTTCTGAACTGGTAACTGCGACGAAATTCCCTGATTACCACTATTTAGCATTACTTTATCGGATAGGAGCGTTACAGTAATCATAATGTGCAAGAGTTCACACCCCTCATGCTACTTGTGTAATTAGCCTCTACGGGTTATGTAGTTGGAGACCGAACTATGTGCAACATAGTGCATGCATGTATCGTGGTTTAAATTTCCATGGTTGCAACACCGACACAATTGAAACAATTATTTCTCAATAATGTTTCGAATGTAAGTTGCATATGTCAGAGAACTATAAGTTTCGACAAATAAACTCGCGCGAAAGAATGCAGTGCGAGAAGAGGCTGAGAAAAGGATAACCAGGGTCATATGACGTACAAGTAACCGAGGGCACAAGCGCTCAGATCGTGTTGGGAATCACGAAAGACGGGATTGGCGAAAACACGAAGAAAAATCGCCTAAGAGGGAATGCCAGAACCAAAGCGCTCTCAATGCGAGCTAAAACCCCAAAAGCTAAATTGGAAGGAATGTTAGCGGAGAAACGAAAACCCTAACCATTGCGATATTATCGATTCAACAGAATCCAATGTGATTCACTCTGCAACAGACTACCGGCTGCGTCATACAATAAAAGCGCGAAAGGTAGGTTTAAGAGACCTAAACAGAGACTTAATGCATGCTCCTGAACTGCTCGTATTCAAATGAACCGCTAAGTGAAAACCAAAAAAACAATAAAATTCTGACAGTAGATACAATAGCACGAACATGCACCGAAGTAAGAATATGCCCATAGCTTTGGAAGGGGATAGAGAATGTAAAAGCAAGAGGGATTGAAGCGAGTTTTTTTGCATTTCAAAAATAAAGATACTATTTACAAACATAAAAGGCAGTTATTCACTGCCATCACTGGAGTCATCCGTACTACCGGTTTCCTCATCACTTTCATCCGCAGGTGAAATCAATCCGGATAAGAAATCTGTGCGGTCTTGATCCGAGCAACGCGAGGTAGTCTTGGACTTTGCTGATTTCGTAGAAGCGAGTTTCCCGGTCAGTCGTCGTTTTTTCGGCAAACTTAAAAGTTTAATTTCCTCCGAGGCTTCAGACTGAAGGTGGCCGACTGGCCAAAATTTGATTGAAGGTGCGAGAGGCAAGCCACTTGCCACTAACTGGCGATCGGGAGACACAGCTAATGTCATGCAGTCGCCTCCACCAAGGTCTTCTGAGGTATGCCAGCCTAAACAATCAAGCATCCGATTGGGGAGAATGTTCATGGGACTAAGAAATTGCTGAAATGGCGGAAATTAGACGCTTACCTGAGAGCACCATCATCTGTTGCTACGACAACAATGTCTTCTGTAATTTTTGCGATTTTTTCAACTGACGGAAAACCCGCGTCTTCATAATATTTTACTCCAACCACCTGGTCAACACGCGAACGAGAAGTTCGAACAGGAAAGCGATCACAAACACTCCCAAACTCATTCCAATTATAGGTTAACAAGACACCTTCATCAGTACCCAAAATAACTTTTTTGCCGTCCTGGAAGCATTAAAAATTGAGTGTAGGAATTACTTTAATACATGAAACTGAGCGCGCACTGTAACCAAGGGGCTCAGAAACCAGATCCAATCGTCGACGTCGAATATTGTAAGAAACGAGGCAACCGTTATCAACAGCGGCTAATAGCGTTCCCTGAGGATCGGTGCCAACAGCGAAATCGTTAATGCCGGCAAGATCTTCAACATAGTCATCGACGGGCGGTTTGATTGTAAAACAGTGGCCACCCTTCTGTCTATCATCCCACATCTTTACTACAAATCACATGATCTAGGTAGAACCATACTTTTACAAAGCCATTGTCATCTCCTGTTATCCATCGATGATCACTAACAACAATCAATGCAGAATACGGAGCCGAGTCTTCCATTTTTCGAAAAACTGCAGTGCGCTCATTTGTCTCTATATCATGAACCTTAATGCAACACTGCTTTGATGCCGTGATGCACGTGGAGGAAAAAGGATTTGTTGACAGGCATCTGATCGTTTTGTGCCACCTTTTTTGATAAAGAGTTTCACATACGCTTTTAGAACAGTCAAGACTAATTGAAATATAAGCTATAAGTGTAAAGACCTTACATTCTTACACGTCCATTAGCGGTACCAACAAATAAAATGTTCCTGTCAGCTGAAGGTACAAAATCCAATGATGTGATCCCATCAGTTCCTATCGGCAACTCTATGTCAGAAGGCCGACAAGGAGACACACCAACATCAGCACACATGCCAGATAAATTTAAAGATAGAACGTGTTACTATTCAAGGTCACCGAAGATGGTGTGAAATACTGTTCATTTTCACCACTAAAATACCAAAAATGAGTGCAAAATTTTCCAGTTATTTTATATGCACAATTTTTTACGTAGATGATGAAGCTAAAACATTCTGATTTTGTAGGAATAGTTCATTCCTCTCTAGGCAAATTTTGGACAGAAATTCTCTTTAAATCTCAGTTAATGCCAAAATAATTTTTCTGTTACTCATAAGAGAGTTTCTTCCTTTCGCTACCTTTTTACTTGGTTTATTTTGACCTTCTAAATTAGAATTTCCATGAATTTAATTAAAAATAATTCAAACTCAGCACGACAATATGACAATAATTGGCATTTGGCAGGGTGACAGAACAAATCTAGGAATTAAGCTAGAGCAAATTACCCCCCATGGGTGCGTAGGACTTATGATAATGACCTGTTTTAATAAATTTTAGATAAATTATATCCTAAATTTACCTTGCATTGTTACCTTGTAACACAATTATTGAAAACACTTCGGACACATATAAGTTAATTGCAAAGAAATTATTCGTGATTTTTTGAGCAGTATTTGCTAGGTTAGCCATGTTGTAGTAAACTGGTGAAAACCATAATGGTTCAGCAATTAAGCAATTGCTTAAATATTCACATTGCATTAAGCGAATTGATGACCTATAGGCATAGTTTTTGACCGAGATAGGTATCCCCAAGGCCTTAGTAAAGAAAGAATTAAGAAACCATGCTCTTTCACCCTTTTCTAATCCATCGACTTGATGAATTCAGTTTCATAGCATAATCCATTTGGTGATTAACAAGAAATATTATTTATATCAAGCTGACTATATTAGTCTTGCTGTATTGAAATAAATTCTGAACTTAATCTTTGGAATCGTTTTTACAACTCATATTTGGGATTGGTCTGCAACTGTCATCGAAATTCTATTTTGGCACATAAAAGTATCGCATTTTTTTATCATTGATTATATCAATATTATTCTTCATAAATGGCAGTAATTGAAATTATAAATTAGGACAATGATAAATTATTTATTATTGCCGTGTATGTCGTAAGTAATATCAAACCATTTGCAGTGTTTTTATTTTTAAAGGATTTTTTCATGACGTTCTTTTGAAAATGTTTATTGCTCAATTTTTCACAAACATTTCCTGTTAAGCATGAACCATAATAATCTTTTTCTTAATTCAGCAGGTCTGTGACATGTTTTATGTTTGCGAAATGACAATGCTATTTCTAGGATTGCTATTTCTCCGCGTTACATCCCAACTAAATGGATTTGATGTCACGAAGGAAAATATACTGTTAAATGTTTGGCAGTTTAGAATTTTTGTTTAGTGAATCTTCAAAATTACCCCAAATTCAAACAGGGCTGAAAAAATCCAGTCTGAACAAGGAAGGCCAACATCAATTATCACTGTAAACCTATGCCATTGCAATAGTCTAAGTTGATTGACAAATTCTTCCAAATTTTATCCTGGCAAAAATTATAAGATAAATATCGTGGTGACTAAAGAACGGAGTACAAAGGTCCAGTGAATTCTTGGTTTAGGTCACTTTCATTACTATGACTATAACAATTTATCGATTAGAAGGATAAAATTCAGTCAAAATATCTGTTAGAGACAATGACGATTGTTGACGTCACAAATTTAAATTGAAAAGGCTGCATATACCAAATAAATCTTTCTGTTGAACAGGTAGACACATGTAGAGTTTTTGCTGTTATCTTCAATCTGCTGGTGACCATAAATTATTTCACACTAGCAACATAATTTATTTTGCTGTTGTGAAAGAACTTAAATTATGGGAAATTTTTGAACAAATAACTTCATTACTAGGGGTGTAAAAATCGAGAAACTCAAGTCAGATAATGACAGTTAATTAGAGCCCGGAACCTACCCTTTATTTTAACTTTTCGTGGCAAGTTTATGCCAGGCGAGTCAACCAAGCACAAAAGCAGTACTTTGGTTTTAACTCCGAGGGTGTATTAGAACGCTGTTTGTGTTGTTTGTCAGCAAATAATTTCAGCAGCAAAATTGTTTAATTGCACAAATATTTCATGAAATATACATTTAAAAAAACTGTTGGTGTTTTTACAGCAAAATGAGCAGATTCTCCTCGCAAATGGTACTCTCTTTAGCCCACCATGCCCTGACTGACGGTGATGCAAACGTTAACATTTGTGTGCTTTGAGGTCAACAGTCATTTTAAACACGATTACAATGCAAAACACTGAGAATATCTAGCGTTTCCAGAAGGATATCGCTTTAGACTGGCTAGAGCATTTAGTTTCATGCAAAAACACAGTTTGCTACTAGGCGTAAACACCATGACACCGCATTTATTTTGCACCAAATAGACCTGCAAATATCACCCGCATAAGAAATAGTAGATATAAGCGCTGGAATCGAAGAACAGCAAGAAATACAGTCTCTAACTACAATCGGGCATTTGAATAGTGCTCCAACAAAATCAGTGTAGTAAAACAAGGTAGATATACGAAAATTACGACATAAATGATACAAGCACTTTTATTTCTTGGATACACGAACAATGCACGAACAAGTCCATAATTAAGTCCCTACCAAGCCAATTACAAACAGGTGTCCGAATATTTATATCTCGTTACATGGCTTCAATGTGTGTTTCGGAGATAATGAATCAACATCTGGGGCCGTGTCGGCGCATATGGTCTTTGTGGCCGACCGTTGTTCGCCTCTATTGTATGCAAAATGATCGCGCACTTGTGAAGCATTGGAAGGAAATAATAGTATCGGGGACTCTTTTCTCAACAAGAAATAACAAGTTGATTGAATTTTATAATACAAATTGCGGCAAGGCTGCATATTACGTTGTAAAATTGCTTGGAATCTTGTGAAATATCGCAGTAAAAGTGATTGTGTAGATAGTTAAGCGGGATCAATTTGACCTATGCCAAGTAGGAATAAAATTTCAACTTACAAACAGGTACGTAGTAGCTTGGACAAATACCCAATGCCCTTGCGAACGCAATCATCATTTGTTTGCCAACTTAAAAACCGTTCGAACATCGAATTCAAATAATAGGGTTATTAAATGTAATTAGTTTGTAAAGAAGTAGCTTGGTTGCCCTTGGATGCACAAAGAACAGAAGGCGATTATCGAAGCTGCGGACTAACACTTTGCCTTTGTTTCGCAATAGCTAAGATTAGCCCCACAACTCGTTTCTTAATTCATCTCCCTCATGTCAACTAGTCTTGACCGTCCTTTTTTCAACTGCACTGTAGTCGATGCGGCAAAGCCGCTGATCAAATGTCACCTACCAGACGACAGGCGGGTGTCCTAACACTCATCTTTGATCCCTTCGTTCCCTGCTTCAAACTTAAGGTCCGCCAATCAAATCCTCCGCGTCAGCCTGCTGTCTATGAATTATCGTCTTTCGATACCTTCCCAGTCTTCACTATAGTTAGCAGTCCTTGTAATTCCACAACCCCCAGAACAGCGCGCCCTGATGCCAGGGTGATTTTTGAGTGCTGCGCCAAATGCGTGTGTTTGTGTACACACAAACTTAGGCTCGGTATTAATCAAATATGTGCCGCAGGATACTAGTCTGGTTTTTTATGCAGCAAAACTATTTCGTCATAGTGAAAAGTAAACATACCGGATTCAAAACCCTAAAAATAGGGGGTATTTACTGGTGGCAGATGTTTCAATAGCAATGATGATGACGATGACGAATACGGCAAAATCAATCCTGCTAGAAAAACATCATTCTACCAAGAATATTCTTATCAGATCTTAGCTTATGCGTTTTACTTGATTACGGTAAACTAATGTTTCACTCTTAGTAACCTATTTGGTTTAAAAAAAGATCAACAAAAGTTTCATATACAACTGTTCCAACTGATTCTAACAAAGGTTTTATGGCGACAATTAAAGTGATGCCTATTTGTATATACAGCGCCCACCATTAACCAGTTCTACACTATGTTACAAGTAACAAAATGTCTTTAAAATTGTATTAAAACACAGTAAACTCCAGTGGAAAAGTAGAAAAATCAATCGCTGCTTCCGCCAGGCTGTGCATTCCTCTGAAAGCAATTTTACTAGTGATGGAATCATTTCGTTAATCATTTTACCACACTAATCATGAGTAGTGAGCAGACTGTAGTGCTGAGCCAATCGGCAATACTCATTGATTTTACGGATGCGTCCGTTTTTGGTAAAATCGGCATCAAAAATCGAAGAAAAAGGTTCGTATTTTGGCTAGCAGTTTTGCAGATGACCTCCCAGTAAAGTTGTTCTTCACTTGCTATGAGAGGTTGAAGAGCGCCTAAGTGTCCACACAATTAAACAAGTTGCTTTCACTATTTTCTTGGTCTCATTAGCTAAGGATTGCGGTCAGAAGGTTAGGAGAAAATGCTCTTTATGAGTATTCTCTGGCCATGGCCATCGCTATCTCTTAGAAAAGAGACGCCTAACTATGACCAGGTTAGATTATAATAGTGTTTGCGTCTGAATAGATTCAAGAATTCACAGGAGACTGACCTGTAAGCCTTGACAAACATTTTGTTGCTTTGTCTGATCATTGCGAACACGGCATAGGTGCGTGCATGCCCAATAGCGGGAGGTGGAAATTTTTCCATAATTTACAAATGTATTCACGAAAAAATTGTTTGACGCACTGAGCAAACACTACGTGTTTTCTTTAACCAATGCAGTTTTTTTTGTTCAAGGAGACTAAAAATTGCAGTTGAATGACGTGTTTTCTAAATTAGACAAATTCGGTGTTAGGGGCAAAACTTTTGAACAGTTTTCATTTAAATTTTTCTTGCAGTGTGGCTATTTTGGACCCTTCTTCCAACAAAAAAAATCCATGTACTGAAAATTAGTTTTCAAAGAAAGAAAGGCTACATTTCCTTAAACTGCTCAATAGGCGAGATTTACTCCGTGAGACTGCATTAGCTAATTTAAA